TCTCGAAGTAGTAAAACCTAATTTTGCGAATATGCGGAAGGTCTGTTGAGTATATTCTTGTAGAGGAAATCAAGTAGATCATTTCTAGAAGAAACCCGAACTCGAAAGTCAAGTTCTTTTAAGAGAAAAAGAGCCGCGAAAAAATCCGCAATAATTATGCATCAACCTAATAGTTTGGCAGTAGGGCGTTGTCCACTTCTAGGCTGGGGTTGATCCGAAAACTGTCTAGACCTCACACTCTCCTTCAGTTCGAAAGTTCGAAACGGTCGTGGAAGTGGTTCGATGAGGGGGGTGGGGATGTTTAGAACAGGGGACTTTTTTTATTTCTAGGAAACCACGGTACTGATTAATAGGGTGAGAAAGAAGCAAACCTAACGCCTCACTGAATAGCTCGACAGGGATCCAATTTACAGACCTTCAAGGAGGGTAAAGAAGATGCTCGTCGTTGAGCCATCTTCAAAGTGATAGAAGACAAAACTCCTTTTTCTACTTACCTACAATGTTGATTTTTGTGTGTTTTCTCCAGGGCAACATTCCAGTTTAATGCGGAATTTCCCGTGACTTCAGACATATGCCGTAGTTCTTCAGTCGGACGATGATTGCCTCGGGCCATCACAGCTGCTTTGATGTGCGCAGAGTGCATGTGTGAATTTTTGTTGATTTCATGAGTTGAATCTCAACCCCTAGCTGTCTCAATACTCACTTGCGAAGATCTGATTCAGACCCCACCCACGCCAACGCACGCTCCGCCCACTCGTGGTTTGTACACATCAGGTTTGATTCACACGTCTTGATCCATATCTCAGCCCGTTTCCTTTCCGAACTCGATCCATCCACTCAGTACCGATCTCTGACTGTTGGTGGACTTTATGAAAGACCATCGTTGGACGGTAGTCGCAAAAGTGACATTGGATGCTCTGCCTCTGAGTTGTATCGATCGGTTTAGAAATCCCTATACTTATCGATCGATTGTGGTCCCTGTACAGCGTGAAGGGCAGCAACTCTTGAATTTTGAGGCTCGAATTAGTACATCTATTGTCTCAATCATGTAATTGGATTGGTAGAGCTGGAGAACGAGCGGTGCCCCAAGGTCAGAGGAGCTCGTGCTGTCTGCATTGGGAGCAGATGGTTTGAAATGCTTTGGCATGGGTCTTAACAGATTAACGCCCATGAAGGGAGCCACTGCTGAGGAATGATTGATAGGCAATGCAAATATTGGGAGACATCTGCGATTTTGAGTATGCCATAAACAAAATTGTATTCGGGATCTCGAGAGACATTGAATGTACCTTCGCGCTGCATTTCCAGGTTCACCGCCCCGCGACCGCACGCGTGAATGCCACGTTCAGTGAACACGAATTGTTAGTGGTTGAATATCGTTGATAAATAGCTGGAGGTTTTCCCTTCATGACTCACTCGGTATTCCTGGGTTTAACTTCATGACTCACAACGGGTTCCTGGGGCCATCTGAACATTTTTTGGTTCCGGCGCGATGGTGGTGCCATATGCTCCGAGCTGAATGTCCTACGCCCTATGCTTATGGATGTGGTACGCTTAATCAACAACATTTGCCCAAACAATCTCGTATTGGGTGTGATGCACGTGGGAGCCCTTGGTAAACATTCAATTAGTAGCTGTAAACAACCACAATCCAGAATATTAGGTTGGTGTGAAGGCTTCGAAAATTTTGATTGTTGAACGATACCCGAGGCTTCTAAGTGGTAGTTGTAAATCACCCTCGTGACCAATAAAGGATATGGTTTCGAGCACAAGTGGGAGCTGAGTTACCTGAAAGACGGTAATTTGGGAAGAATTCTCCTTGAGAAGAGTATTTCTGTCCTTGCAGGAGAAGATATGTTGACTTTCGTAACCGTAGCACCATCCCGTTGTAGTGGTTTCATCTTCGCCTGTGCCAATTCCCTAGCTTCTGCCCGGGGCGTGGCTTATACCACCTGCGAGTACACATTTATTGAATCATTACCTGTCCTTAGTCACGTTGAGTAAAGATGTTTATTTTTCACCAGCTTCTTGCTGTACTTTCATACCCTCCCTCTCCACCTTCAAATGATAGCCCCACAGAATCACCATAACAACAGTAAAATTTCAAGTCAGCCTCAGGTTACATAACCAGTGACGAGTTCCTGTTTGGGAGATCAGACCTCTCAGAGAAGTTAGCACGTTTAGCACTTACTCATATCTTCCAGTCACCCATATCTGGCACTGGCCATCGCCTTTGGCTCCTGTCTTGAAGCTGAGGGCCTTCAGATCCCGTAAGAACAATAGCGAACTAAAGCGAACAAAATTTGGCCCCATCCCAACACTTATTGTTAGTAGCCTTCAGCAGCGAATTTGACTCAGTCTGGACTAAGTTTGGGCCAGAATCACCCTTCACCCCCTGCATCCAGGGCCCAACGGTTCGGAAGTTCAACTCTGGAACTACTCACCTGACCATCCCCTGGCTTTTCACATCCTATCGCTCCATCTGCTGTCACATTTGGACTAGCCAAACGAGGTAACAACCCCTCTGGGAGCTTCCACCCACTCTTCGATATCCCTCATCTTTAGAGATGAGGCGTTCCCCGTTCAACAGCCCCTCTCCCACGCATTCGTACATGTGGTGGTTGGGCCGGAAACATAGGCGGTCAGAGTGCTTGACAACGAGGGTGGTGGCCTCGTCACTCATCATGCGCTCGAAAGAGCATATGCATCACGGAGACAGCAGACACGTCGGCTGTGCAGAGACGCAGCGCCACAACACGCGCTATTGATCTCGGAGGCGGGGCCTGGGGCGCATCGCGACCGCTCGCGACAGCTGATCCGTGGGAACTTCGCGTATTTTTGTTGTTTTCCGTCGGTTTCGTGTGCCAGTTTCGAATTCATCCACTCATCGAGGAAGTCATGACTTTGTTGCGAACATTCCTCTTCCGATTTGTCCATTCCTCGTTAGCGTCCAGGCGTTCTGCCCGAAGTGAACGTCAGCTATCCCTACGCGGCTTGCTTCTATTCGTCAGCGCAGCCGCACGTGAACACTTTTTTTTTCTTTTTTCGGCTCCTTTCACAGCTATTGCATAATTTAAGATCTTATTCCTTTGTCAGATGGTGTTCTGCTTTTGTAGCTTGTTATCTGGGAAGTTGTAGTTTGTAGAACTATTCACGGGTACTCACTAAAAAACGGACGAGACCTAAAATAACTTTTAGGAGCCTTTTATATTTCGCATCACATTTTGTAAAAGCTTCCGATTTCTAAATAAATTTTCCCCGCTGAACACTGGTTCTTAAATTTGTTCGAACAAAAAAAATTGCCTTTCATTTTTGCTTTTTTTACTTCTTTTTTCTGCTTATGGTATTAGTTATACTCGAGATTGTCTTATTTTATTGAGAAATATCTCAATAGAAATCTAATTGTTGATTTCATGAATCCTGGAATTTCACTTTTTCAAGGACTTATGGAAACATTTGGATATGTCTTTCCTCATTTTTCTACCCTTTTCTTGGTTATTAAATCCTGTTAACCAAATTTATCTTATTATAATTTTGCTGAATTTTTCGTTTTCACTTTGCATAGTCCGTATCGTTGCAGAACCTGGCTTTTATAAATCGACATTTTCGTTTCGTTTCCGCTTGGATAGCTAGCGGATGAGCTTCCTTACATTCTAATTGTACTGCTCTCACCTTATTATCTGATGCATAGAAAACGTTTTTACATAATAACTTAGAATAGACTCAGAAGATTGATTGGTAAGAAGAGCAAATGCATTGGGGCAGTATTTTGATTGGCTTTCGTGCAGTGGAGGATTATCCTCGCATTTTCTGGAAACCAGAAGGTTCTGCTATGCAAAATAAACTCGTCGGTTAACTTTTTCCGCGTCAGTATAATGATGAGTAAGATTGTTTACTTTAATCTCGTGACAGTTGTGTTCGTGAATATGTACTGAAGTTAGCGTTCTCGACACGTGTTTGATTCAATGCTTGTGTTCGCATAACATTTTCCGGTTGATATCACCTGATATCAGTTATGTGCACATGTGCAGGTTTATGTGAGCTGTTCGATTTTATTCTTTTTTTTAAAGCGAATCGCATCGAATAAGTGAAGAAGTGCTGAAAGGCAGCGGTTATTTGCCGCATTCTACAAAATTTATCTGCGTGTGTGTTCGCTTGAACTGTGGTGTACTTAGTGGTATTCAACACATTCGATCCCTTCAAAGGAGAAATCAAAGTGCACAGGTTGCGCACGTGTCGGCACATCCGAAGTGTCTTCAGCAATCAGACAGGAATTTGAAAGGTGATTTTGTAGTTACTACCTACCATCTTTACGGGAAGTTAATTATTGAAAAAAGTGAACAAAGGTTGCTTTATTGGGTTTTTATATGAAGCCCCGCCAAATCGTTCATGTTTCTTGGTATAATTTTCTTTTTTTGATCGCATCCATTGATTTCATCATTCAACCGTTTTATCCGTTCTGCAGTGCGCCTGAGATTTCGCCTTCAGGCGTATAATTATCTTTTATGTTCTTCACTATATCCTATTTTCCGTAGGATATCGATACTTCTTGCAGCAACTGGCTTCAAACGATAAAAGCGCTCTCCTCTTTCGATTTGGTCGCGAAATCAAGCTTCCTATCGCTCTTGAATTCGTTTAGATGCCAATTGCTACAAATTTTTGATTTGTTTTTTTCTGAATCAGTGGGCGATGCTAAATTTGCTTTCGTCTACAGCAGTGTAGTGTCGTGGGAATCCGTTGCTATGTGCAAATCATTATGCTGATGAGGTTTTCCGTAAAATTTTCCTGCAAACTCGACCTTTATAGTAAAGCACGCGATTGCAGGCGTTTTGTTTTTGAAAGTCAGGTGATTGTCCTTGCTAAAATAGGCGCACCTGTGGGTACCTCTTAAAATAGGGTCTTCATCGGTATATTTGTTCAAGCCGGACGGGTTTTTGAAAGGGCGCTTTTCAAGGAAACGTGCTGCAGGTCTATTGCAGGTCTATTTTTCATACTGTTGCTGCTTCTGGCCCGTTGGAGTTTCTGTAGGCGCTCCACAAGGGTCATAAGGCTTGAAAAATCGCTGTCCTCTGGCGTCTTGCCGTTTTGCTTCCATGTCGTTTGCAGTTCTTTGCCTGTTGCCGTTAAGGCGTTGAACTTCGTTCGGTGAAAAGCTGTCTATCGATAACGTAACGGACAAAAGGCTTGGAAAGCTAGGTATCGTAAAAGCGGCGTGCATATTATGGGCACGTAGTATGCGTTTTATGGGTGTTGTGTAGCAGGTGGAGAATACACCATGTATAATGCCACTG